GTGTGTGTGTGTGTGTGTGTGTGTGTGTGAGTGTGTGTGAGTGAGTGAGTGAGTGAGTGTGTGTGTGTGTGCCACCGTTCAAACAGACACAATGGTGTGTTGTGTGAGATAAGTGTTTGAGACGCACAACATCACAATCTACACACACGCAGAAGAGAGAGACGTTACAGCTGTCCCTAACCCTACATGTAAAATACTAAATTAAATATATATTATAAAATTGTTTTTTGACACTTTGACTGAATAACTGATGACAAACAAAGCAGAATCCCAGTAAAATTAGATTAATCTGAAAGGAGCATTTATTTTATGGCTTGTATAGAGGCATGTGAATATTTACATATTTAATTAGCCATATTTTAATTGAAGATATGTCATAATAACATCACTATGAGTGCACATTGAATGATTTCAGGTTTTAATGAAAGCAAAGATGTCTGAAATGTTCATCTAATTCATAGAAATACTGAATAATAAACTAGGCAATTACAATGAGTATTAAATGAAACAATAATCACACGTTATTTTAAAAACATCTGGGCAACCCATCTTACCCCAAAAGTTATAATTTGATCTTTTTATTTTTAAAAAAAGTATAATTTTTACTTAACAAAAAAACTACAAAAAACATGATACAATGTCATAAATCACTATTTTCCATAGACATGTTTGTTTTTGTAATATTGTATGTGTATAATAATTTGGCAGTATTATATGTAAACACAATCAGGCCAATAGAGTACTTTACAACTGAGCGAAAGAGCTAGAAACTCGTTCAGGAAAGTTTGTTTCTCGACGATGATGTGATTGTAACATTATTATGAAAACCCAAAACACGTTTCTTTTGAATATGTTATTAATTTATTTATTTTGTATGCAAAGTTCTTTATCCATAAGCTAAAAGTCTTCTTTGTGTCTTCCGTTTTTCCTTGCTGAATTTAACTCTCTAATTTCATCCCTCGGGCTTATAAACAACAAAAAAAGCACATTTTTTATGTTTTATGAGGGCATGTTAAAAGACAAATGTTAGCCTTATTATTTAGCTTTTTTCTGTCTGTGTACGTAAACACATGCTTGTTTTGTTGATGTTAATATTGTTAGAGATAGTCATATTTTCCCTGATTGTGTGTGTATTATATGTTTTACAATAAAAAAAGTGACAGCCTCAGCAAATCAATCTAAAGTCAAACAGACTCTTTTATATGAAGTTTGCAACCCTGTCTTGGTCGCCAGATAGAAATCTATATGTGGGTACACTAAAAATGAATTTATAAAATTAAACAGAATTTATAAAGTAAAGTCAAAGGAAGGAAAGCAGATGACGCAGATGTGAAGGTCGTGTGTGACCCTTGACCAACAAAATCAAGCTCTGACTAACCCTGACCTGAGCACCAAAGACTAGTGTTATTAAACCAGCGCTTAACTAACCACACACTCACAGAAGCGCAGCGTCATCAGGAATGATCTGCCTTCTAGTTTGACAGAACAGTGAAAGTGAAAGATGACTAACTACTACTAGATCAGCTGTTGAAGTCGAAGTAGACAAACCAGTCAATGATAACCCTGATAAAACACCACAGCAGCCCATAATACCACGCTATTCGGTTCTACACCATAGTAAACTAATATAATAATAATAATAATAATAATGAATTTTATTTATAAATATAGCAATGCATGTAAACACGGCAGCCTCAGTGTACCATAGTAAACAGAGTTTGTAGTAACCTCGAGGAGAGTTTCTGTATCCAGACAGAGGAAGTGAAGTGACAACAATGTAACAAACATCAAACCCGATGACGTCACATGAACTCCTGCAGCACGTTCACTGCTTTAGACGCTCAGAACGACAACACAACACGGTACTCTAAACACTAATAAACAACACTAAACAGCAATCATTTGATCAGAACTCCAGTATAGTTGACGTACCGTTTGAGTGTTAGCGGCGCGTTCTTCTTGCGTCTTCTCGGGAGTCGCGGATGATCGTCTCGTTTGGATCGCGACAGCAGCTGAAGAACGAGCGGACAGAAACGACTCAAGTTCACCGAGTCTGAGGACGCTTCGATCCGCGTTCCTCGCGGCGCTGTATTCGCGGCGCGGCGCGGCGGCGCTCAAAGCAAACTCGTGTAAACGGGAACGGGATAAAACAGCGTTCATTGCCGTTAATCTCCGGTAAACGCGAGAGCAGCACATCGCGCGGTGGTTACGCAATGCGCGGCTCGCGTGAAGAACGTCGTGCAGGCGCTGCGGTAATAAAGCCGCTCCAGAAACGTTCCTCCGACAGTGAAACATCGCTCCGACATGCACGAAGAAAATAACGCTAAATATGATACGAGCGCGAGCGTGTGACGGTGATCAGTGAAGACCCGCCTCCCTCCGTTCCAAACGCTCACTGTCCAAACTCTAAAACATTCAAAGAAGAGATGCATGAGCTGAAAGCATCAGCAGGTGCTGCAAGTCACACTGAAGAGCTCTCCGGTAATATGAGCTTCTCTTAACTGTCCTTTGCTCTTGAGATCCGGTTGTAAAACAATCCCTGTCTTGACATGTCAATCGTGCATCAGGCAAACTGCCCGGGAATGAAATATAACACGCGTGAGGTTGATATGAGTTCAGTGCCAACATCAATAGTACACGTAAGTCTGCAAGATATGTCCGTTAAAGATCGTGAAAGCATCTGCACACGTACATCACGGAGACGTCTATTTGACGTCGCATTTACATCTGCAAGACATCTGCATACGTCTATAGATGTCAAATAGACGTTTAGAAGACGTCTTTAAGATGTTTATGATGTAAAACTGACATCTTAAAGACGTCTATCAGATGTTTGTACACAGCAGATGCTTTCGCGATCTTTAACAGACCTCTTGCAGACGTGCTATCTGGGGTCATTTTTACATACATTGTAAATCATAAACATCTTAAAGACATCTTCTAAACGTCTATTTGACATCTGATAGGAAACGTCCTATAGA